TCATTGAAAAATGCCAAAACAATTAAATAGTCGCTGCAAGGACTTCTCTAATAAATTATTTTGGGAAAGAACGTCATAATAATGGGCCTTTGTTACCTTTAACAGCTTTAAGAGAAGTGAGTTGATTAATAATGTATCGCCGTCAAATTAATATAATTATTTTGTTTCAGCGTGTCGCAGAAACACTTAATCTCAATTTTTCTACTGTTAGTTCTATTTTTCAAGCTGTAAAGAACTGTGAAGTTCTAAAGTCACCACCAAAATAGCGCCCTATGCAAAAGAAAGTTACCAACACAAGAATTCTGAATACCAGTGCTATTCGAGATGTTATTTATAGCATGTCTAGTAAGTGTATATGTATATAAATTATTATTAAACAATTACAAATTAATGTATGATTTCAGAGGAGCATGTAAGTTTAGATTCTTTGTTGGTGAAACTTAATGAGAAGGAGTTGTTCAATGGATGTCGCACATCATTGCATACCTTTTTATTAGAAATAGGTTTCATATGGCAGAAAGATAAACCAAGGCGAGGTCTTATAGATATTGCCGTGAAACGGCAGAATTTTTAAGAAAATGTACCAAAGAAAAGGAAGTAAATTTGTACCAGTTTGCTTTTATTGATAACACTTGGATTTTCCAAAATGGCACCATAAACCGTTATTGGCAAGACAGCAATAAAAGAAGTGTAAAAAGTACAAAAGTTGATGGTAAAAGGTTAATAAAAAAAAAATAATAAATATATACATGTTAACTGTATATTGATATTTTTTATAGATATATAATTCTTCATGCTGGAAACGTAAATGGATTTATTGATGGTGCCGAGGCCATATCTGCTTCAAAAAGCAATGATTAGGATTATCACCGTGAAATGAATAATGAAAATTTTTTAAAATGGTTTGAAGAACAATTGCTTCGAAGACTGCATGAACCATCTTTAATTGTAATGGACAATGCTTCATACCATAGCACATTGGCACACAGGTTCAAATTCAAGAGTGGTTGACGAATCAGAACATACCTTATTTAGTCACCATGTTTAAGACTGAACTTTTGAACCTTGTTAGACGGTGAGTAATGGAAATCTACTTTTTCTGTATTTTTTAAAAGATTTTATTTTTTTAGTAATAAACCACCAAAAATATATATAGCTGATATGCTGGCTGAACAGTATGGACATAAGGTGTTACGTCTTCCTCCTTACCATTGTATTTTTAATCCAATAGAACTGATTTATGGTATTTCAAAACAATATTATAATAGGCACATTGGTCGGGATGGAAAGACACAAAGAGATTGTATAGACATGTGGTCTGAAGCACTCCGAACCATTACCCCACAAATGTGGGCAAACAGTGTAAGACACACTGAATAAGAAATTTTTAAATGGTGTGAAAGAAAGCATATACTGGACCGATTGGAAATTGCTATTATTATAACACCAAATAGAGATGATTCTGATTTTAGTTCTGATTATTCTGACTGATTTTAGCTTAAATATTATTTAAGTTTTAAAATGTCATATGTTGTTAATTTTATTGCCTAACTGTTTTAATTATTGTTACTTCTTTTAAATATGGATGTTTATACACTAACTAAACATAATTATTTTTATTGTGAATTAAATCAAGCCTAAATGAAATTTGTTTGTTTTTTCATCCTTAACCTAACCTTTTTTTGTCATTTTAAACTTCTTGTGCAAAATTTATTACTATTAAATTCAGTGTTTTTCTAAAACTTCAATTTAAACATTATCAATAACCTTCATTGGCTTTTATATAGAATTCATTATACATTTAAAATTAATTACATAACATAACCAAAAAAACATAACCTCATAGTTTTAAAAATTCTTACATTCTTAGACTATTTTGAAGATTGGGCAACAATGCAAGGCTATGACTTCACAACTGATTGATGACGTGTATCGGTTTTTATATTGAATGCTCTATATACTCGATATAAAATCCAATGCACGTCATCGGTGACGTCGATAACAGGCATTGACACCACACATACGTTTTAAATTAATGAAATTTAATTTGATAATTGAACGAATAATTTTTGACGCATATAATAAGGGAAGGCAAAAGGAAACCTTGAATAGTCGTCGACAATAGTCAATACATAACGATTGCGATTTTCTGACGGAAGTGGTCCCTTGAAGTCAAAATTAAGCCTTTCAAACGGAGACGTAGCTTTAATTAGAGTTCCCTGATTTTTATGGAATCTTGGCTTTATTTCTGCGCAGACAGGACAGGATGAAGTCATTTTCTTTATATTCTCCAAAGAATAAGGAAAATGTTTACAACGGATCCAATGATAAAATCTAGTGATCTCAGGATGACATAGAGATTTATGTAAAGAATATAAAGTTTTTGCAGAAGTTAAAGGTAAAATGGCTGCAGATACCCTCGAATGAACATCTGCTGCCGTGTTTTCTGCTCCAGGCTTATACAATAGGTCATATTTATAATATGACAGCTCTAAACGCCAACGCATTATTTTTTCATTTTGAATTTTAGAGCTAGTTTTATTATCAAACATAAAGGCAACAGACCTCTGATCTGTGACAAGTCGAAAATAACGTCGAATCAAAAAGTGTCTCCATTTTCGCAAAGCTTCGACTATTTCATACGATTATTTTTCAACAGAAGAATGTCGTTGTTCTGCCTTGGATAGGGTTCTAGAGAACATGCAACAGGCTTTTCTGATTGTGTTAATTGAGCAGCAATAGCGAAATCGGATGCATCAGTCTCTACAGTAAATATGTCACTATCGTCAATGGAAGTGACAACCGAGCATAATATGTCATTCTTTAATTGTTTGAAGGCTGCGACTTTAGTTTCAGAAAGTGGAAATTATTTAACTTGGATAAGCGGATGTATTTTTTCTGAAAATTTGTGTATAAAATTGGAATAATGAGCAAATATACTTTGAACTCGTTTAAGAGCAGCTGCATTCCTTGGCAATGGCAATTGGATAATAGGTTGAAGTTGATCAGAATCTGGTTTTATTGTTTTTCTTTCGATAGTATAGCCAAGAATATTTATTGTAGTCATACCAAATTTGCACTTTTCTTTATTAATCGTTAAATTGTATTTGTCAGCAACATATAAAAATATTTGAAGATTTCTTTCGTGATGCTCCTTAGTTTTACCACAGATAGTTACATCATCAAGATAAGCAAATGTATCCTCCAATCTTTCATTTTCAATAATATTTGTTTCTTTGGAAACAAGCAACACCATTAGTCACACCAAACGGTATTCTAGTGAACTGATACAAGTTCCCGCATGCTTCAAATGCAGTATAGATTCGTTCCTGTTCTAAGATTGGTATTTGATGATAAGCACTGAGAAGATCTACAGAGCTAAAATATTCATATTGTGAGATTTTATTTACCATATCTTCAATACGTGGCAGAGGATAAGCGTCTAAGAGTGTAAATCTGTTGAGTGTTTGTGAATAGTCTATAACCATTCGTTTCTTATGATATTCGTTATAAGTTATAACCACTTGTGCTCTCCATAGTGAATTATTTGGTTCAATAATTTCTTCTTTTAAAAGACGTTGTACTTCATCTTCAATAAATTTCGAATCAGCTGGAGAATATCTTCCGAGATTTTATAGCAATTGGTTTGCAATCGGATGTTAAATGTGCAAATAATGGATACGTATCCACATTTGCTATAGCTAAATTACATACGGAAATGGGTAACCTGTTTTCCCCAAACAAAATTTCAACGCCTGAGTGTTGTCTAAGAATATCGTGACCAATAATTACATCGGCACAAAGTTCTTCCAAAATAAATAGTCGGATACTTATAAATAAACTTCAATATTTTCAGTTGCACAACATAAAATCCACGAATAGTGGAGCTCAAAGATGATGATGCCATTGTTATATTTACATTATTTAAAAAAAGTTTGATATTTTTTTCAGTTACAAACTTACTGGAAATATAACTATCTGAACTTCCGGTATCTATCAGTGCTTCAGCAACATGTTCATTAACTTCTATTTTTAATAATGCTTTTGATAAACAACTAACTGAGGAGGGAGATATAGTTCAAGTATAGCAGCAGAAGTTTTATTAATAAAACTTGATTGTTTTTTATTTCTAGACTTGCATACTTGTGTAAAATTACCCTTTTTACCACATGAATAACATAAGGAGTTTCTTGCTGGGCATTTTTCTCGAGGATGTTTATTTTTACCACAGTAATAGCATTTAAAAACTGTAATAGCATAGTAGAATCATCTTCCGAATGAATGTTAGTATCATTAGAAAACGAATGGGGTTTGTTTTCAGAATTATTACTTGACTGTGCAGCATTTGCATAAGAATTGTAGGGAGTAAGGTAAGACTCTAAATGGTGTTGGGCCATTTCTGAAGACCTAGCAGAATCGAATGCTTGTTCTAAATTAATGGAAGTATGTTCAAGAAGTCGCTGTCTGATATGCGAAGAAACGAGACCTGCTATAAAAGAATATCTGATTAAATCGTCTCTATTTTGTTCTGCGGTTACAGATTTAAAATTACAATCTTTGCTCATTTGCCTAAGAATTTGTAAATATTGATCAATAGATTCACCTACTTGTTGTTTTCTTGTAGATAAGGAATGTCTTGCAAATATTTCGTTTTGTGGTTTGACATATAGATTTATTAAAATCGTAATAGCATCATCATATGACGTACATTCATTAATGTGTTCAAATATTGCAGGAGTTACATAATTTATCAGTAAGTTCAGTTTGTCTTCATTAGATTCAACTTTAGAAGCTTTTAGGAAGTTAACAAAACTTCGATACCACTGAGTCCAACGATAACCAGAATTGCTGGAGGTAAAATCGATATCTAAGCGTTCGGGCTTCAAGAGATTATCCATTTTATTCAGCTTATTAAATTGTAATAAAGAAAACCTCAGAATTATAGGCTTTAATAAGCTGAAAATACAACCATATAACTGACAATAGTAATGACAATTATATCAAAGTATATTAATATACTTTGATTATATAACGAAAATAACATAACAGTGTTGTAGTGGACAGTACAAAAGTGTAGATAATATTTATATAACATGTATGTTTGGCCGTATATACCTATCAGACCCAAGATGCCATAGATAATAGTAAAATAAGAAGAAAAAACATATTGACGTCTTACCTACGTCAATATTGAAACATTTTAAAATATTTATTAGGTAATGGTTTTTGTACAATAATTATTTTAACTGGAAACACAATAAATGCAAGTAAAAGTTTATCAAAATGGTATCCCGCTGTCGAAGATTAATTCGAGAAAAAGAACGAATATTTGCCGAAACAGACACATCCGGAGAGCAAGATTTCTTAGGAATGCTAAGAGAGAAAGCAGCCTCACCTATAACCTGGAACGAGTCAATACCGGGAATAAAAATCCAAGACCTTCAACCCAAACGATTCAATGATGCCATGGACTGTATCATCAGTGACGGCATACCCGTGGATATAATTTATAAAAGTACGAATATTTTAGATGATCCTGAATCGATGGAAGCTTTTCAAGAGAAAATGTTGTTTCTCATGAAAGACAGGACGTCTATAATAGCTGTTAACGATGAGAACGAAATTGTAGGGGTTCTGGTAATGAAAGCCGTAAGAAAATATGACTATTCTAAAATGTTCAGTAAGCTACAGATCAGAAGAGGTAAAACTTTTCTTATCGTCATGAGATTCATCAACAACATCTACAAGGAAGTCGATATATTTCAACAGTTTCAATGCGAAATATATTTGAGGTTTTACTTCATATGCGTAAAACAGACTTACCGAAAACGCAAAATTGGTAATCTATTGATGTGGACCGGCTTAGATGTAGCGCGTCATTTGAAGATCAACGTTATGATGGGCCTCTTTCCAGCCGCAAAGCTTCAAAGTACGGCTCATATGATGGGAATGGACGTGTTACGTCATTATTTCTTCAGTTCGTGGCACGATAAAACTGAAAGCTTAGTTTTTAGAGGAATCGGGGGAGGTAATTATTCTTGTGCACTAATGGCTGGTTACGTAAAAGACATTAAAGCCGACGATGAAAGAAAATAAATGCATATAATTAAACTATTAAAAATAATTGAATTTTAATATGGATTTTATTGTTAGTAGGATATTGATTATTACGATTACAGTCATTATAAATATAATTTAGCATTAAATGTTTTTTGTAAGCAATGAAGCGTTTAGGTCAAGGGATACCTGTGAAAAATTAGAATGAAGCTATAACTTGGTATGTTGATTCAATTCGATGTTGCTATGATTCCTTTTCATTTGCTTCCAGACTCTCCGGTTTACATTTTTTTAGTGGTGATAGTTTCGTCGTATTTCTAATAAAACTTTATAAAAGTCTACTCTACTAATTATTTGGATTGTGACGATCTTCCGGAAGATGGTCGAGTTTTCGGCTACTGGCTGTTAAGAAGTATACAGGGCTGGCCACGAGTCGTAATTCAACATTAAGGAAGAAATGTGATTTGGTTTTAGAAAATTCGGAAAATTTATTTAATTCCAACCTACGAGTGTAGGGATTGATTTCCTGAACATTTTTTAATGTGGACGATGCATGTGGATATTGTTGGTGTGCTAAAGCTACATTTGGTTTAAGTACTTTTTTATTCTTCGCCATTTATTAGGATTGTACACTGTTTTGTCGTTTTGCCGATTGGTAAAGCCAAACCGAGAGAAAGCAATTCACCTGTTTCTTGTGGAAAACTTTTTTGTTTAGCAGTTAGGCTTCGTTTTCTCTAACTTTATTCTTAACTTAACTTTATTCCTTTTAGTTTTTAAATCAGTGAGGTCGAGGAAGCAAAGGTAATTAGTTCGGCCACGTGATGCTTGTTTTTTATGAATGAAATTCAGTTAGTTAAGAGCCGGTTTTGATTTAAATATTAAACTGGGTGGGTAAATTCTTTGATATGTAGTTTTTATATTTTTTATAAACTGGGGAGGGATACTTTACCCTGAGCCTGCTTGGTTATTTGTATTTCTCGTGTTTATATTGTTTTAGTATGCAGTTTTAGTGTGCAGTTTTAGTGTGCAGTTTTAGCACACAGACTGACACTATCAAACGTGGACTCAACAGTTGATTTTGGTTTTCTACCTCCAAGGGTTTTGCTACTACCCCCACAGACACTAAAAGCGTGATCTGAAGTCTCATCTAGTCACCTCGGGTTGGGGATTGTTTATGAGTATTGGAGGGAGCAGCAGAGATGCAGCTGGAACGTTCACTGAAGTTCAACGGAGAACAGCGTCTCGAGGAAAGAGGTTTTATTTAATTTAATTAATTTTGCTCATACCCTCTTATGGCTTCAATGGTATAATAGATATTTTAGTTCTTTTAAATACTATTTTATAAAGGGATTTGTTTTATTTCATAAAAGATAATATATTACATAGTAGTGGGATTTTATTAATTTTTATTAGCTAATAGGTTATGGTAAATTGTACGACTGAAATCAAGTGATATATTAATCGGATTTTATAAACTTCTTTACGATACACAGTGCAGATAGCACTTACAGACTAAGCCCTGTTACCAGCGCCCATGACCCTATTATAAAAAGTTTTACTCACTATTGCGACAGGGGATTGCCTACACAAAGATTTGATTTTTGTCCTAGGGGACATAAGTTACATTTATTTTTATACTATAACAGACTAAATATATTCCTATATATATTTTTTTATTTTGTGCAAAGTACATATTTATTGCGTATATAAAATATAACGTTACGTAATTTTGGGAAAATTGTAATTACCCATATCATAGTCCAAGATCAAGTAAGGTCGACCTTCACCCATCTATTCAATGGATAAAAATTTTTTTTTTATTAAATAAAATATATTTTTAAATATACCGCATATAATGCATCACAAACGGAATCACTATTAATAACAAAGCTAACAACTCAAAGAATTATTACAAAACTAAAAATCAAAGATGAAGCCATAGAAACTGAAACACTATGAAATACCTAGGTTTCCATCTAGATAGAGGATTAACGTTCCAAAATCACATAAAAGATAGAATAGCCAAATCCACAGGGGCAATCAAAACCCTTTACCCCCTATTAAATCGCGTCACTAGGCAAAACAAACAACTTCTATATAACCAAATCATTCGTCCTACTCTCACTTATGGATATCCAGTCTTTTGTTCAATGGCAAATAGCCGTTTTATGAAACTTCAAAGATCACAAAACAGGTGTCTCAGGCTAATTCTGGGGTGGGACCGCAGAGCTAGAATTACAGACATGCACGGAGCGACATCCATGCCTACTATTAAAGACTTCACCTTGGCAACAGCCGAGAAATTCTATAAAAACTGTCTTCATTCAGACGTAAAGGAAGACATATTAAATGTTCAGCTGCCAAATTATACGTACTCTGGTCGGACGGACGACTGAGTGGTGGAGGGGATTCCTGGGTCAGAGTCGAGTCGAGTTCTGACATATACTCCACAGACTACCGAAACCAACACACACACATACAAGGACAACCCTGTTTTTTCGTGCTTTTTCAGGGAAGCAAACGCACAACTAAGACAAAACAAAACTAAATACACAGATCAATTATTGTCACTAGACAAAATAAGCCATACTTGCGGCATAATATTCATGGAGATAAGGAGGTCGTAGCCATATAATCGCAAAGATAGACAATTCATTCATCTCGTGACTGAACAGGACAACGATGGGCATCGTGCCCAATGGAAGAATGTACGACGACGCGTTATTTGAATGACATGTAGATATTTTTACTAAAAATGAATAAAGACGTATTTAATAATAATAATTAAAGTATTACAGTTAAATACCACCAAAAATATGCATTTAAAAAAAAAGTTTCAGACAAAAGTTTAATAGGTTTTTGGGGGAAACATTTTGGCTAAATTAATTTTTTTATAGCTGGCCATAATATGGCCATATTGAGGTGGACTTGGTTTTTTTAAATGGGAATCCCATTTTTTTACATATTCTAAAAGTACATAAAAAAATTAGAATCTTTTGATGGAAATATTTTTTTTATTGCACTCTTACTTTCTGAGTAACAGCTACTTAAAAATTTTGGTAGGCGAAAAAAAAGTTGGCTATATTATGGTAAGCTATAAAAATCGATTTAAACCAAAACTATAAAATTTTCGTCTGAAATGTTTTTTTATAAAAGGCAGTTTTTAGCTATAACACTTTAATTTGAACACCCGGTATATACTCAACGTCGGCTTTTGACATATACCACCCAATAAAATAAAAATCACTTATCACAAGAAAACTAGCGGCAAATAAATCAAAACGAATTAGAGCCGATTCCACCGTTGTGTTAACCGGAGATTAAAAAGACATTGTTAATGTAAAAATGTCATTTTAAACTTCGTTTAACACAACGGTGGAATCGGTCCTTAGTAGCATAAAGTGTACTATAGTGTACTATAGTAGAAAACTAATGTACACGTTACAAATAGTTCACTAACTGTAGGTCGTCTAAAAACAAATAATTGAACTGTTTACTAACCACACGTGACTAATTTCAAAAATCTTGTGTTACTTACAGTTCATCAAATTTCTAGAGGTGTTCGACGCCCAGACAGAGAACGCGCTACGTGTGACTAAGATAGCTATTGTACAGTCTGCTAAACAAGTTATTTTAAATAGTTTTTAATATTTTTAGGTAATTAAATTTGAAAAGTGTGGAATAGTTTAGGGATTAAATTAGTCTGATTGGACTTTCTTAGAACGTTTTTAAAAGCAGCTAAAGATAGTATGTAGAATTGAAAATAATTATTATGCCATAAAAGGTGTTTTGGAATTCCTTCAACCTTTTGAAATTGAGTCAGAAAATATAAATTTTATAGGATAGCGGAAAATACCTATAATTTTTTTGTAGGCCTTTGTAAATCGTGGAAATAGTTTATATTTTATTTCTACCTTATTAAGGAAAATGGTACCTATTATTAATAACGGTTGTTTCTGAAACATTACTAAAATTTTCGAAATTTTGTTTTTCTACAAAATAATAAACTATACTATTTAGAAAAAATTTATTTCTCTTATAATTTTATAAAAAATAACAGGGGACTATTTACATTTCTTGATCTATTAAACAAAACGATAAATTATCTCGACGAATGACACCATGTTCTAGTACGGAAGCTAGCTTTACATTTTTGTTGGTGGTTTCATGGGTTTTATATCAATTTTTTGTAATTGTAGTTTACACGTACATATACCTCTTAACACTTGTTTGCTTTATTAAAAAAGTGTGTTGTTGTGATTTACGTCGAAATAAGTCAAAAACAACTTGAAACCCCATATAAAATCAAAAAGGAGAAACGGAAAAAAATTGAGCCTGTAAATGAACACAACTCAGAAACAAAAATAGCTATCTAATAATAAAAAAATAAAATTTGATTCTTGTGCAGCTTCATCTATATCATTAAATGTTTTTGGTTTTTTAATGGTTTTTCTTGGTGATGAAAATTCCGATATCTCACGGTTATCGATTCTTTTTTTCTCTCCAGAAATGCGGACGACAGTGTTTTTAGATACTCCTGTGGCTGCAGCAACACGATCATTTACATTTTTAAATGGTATTGAAGGTGAATTAAAGTTTCCTTCTCTTCTCATAAACTCTATAACATTGGCTATTATTTCGCGAGATTGACTGTTAATCACGCGGCCTCTTAATTTGCTATTAAACTCCATACTTAGGTTCTATTAAACTGTAATGAGCAAAAAACACAAACGAAAATAAAAAAAATGTTTTAGCGAAATTTACATCTGACATTTACGTCTGAATGAAATAGTGAAATACTTGATGCGCAGAGTGTACTTTCATTGCGTAAATCCGTCGGGATGCCTGTCAGTAGTGCTTTCTCTGTCTAGCCGTCGAAAGCCTCTAAAAATTTGATGAACTGTACTATCAGTAAACATTTTACCTTTTCCATATAGTATATATACCACTTTTTATTTGCGGCAAGTAAAAGTTCGCTAACAGTAAGTGAATTTTTTTTCCGTGTACTGTATTTAAATAGGTATCTCCAATGATATTGTCACTCCTCCATACCTTTGTATTTAATTTTTTCAATCTTTTTGATGTGTTGTTGTTTTTAACCTAA